GTTATCGGAACTAACTTTTCTTTCTTTAGGTATTTTTTTCGTTTGGAATTGTGATCGAAACGTGAAGGTTTATTGGAACCATCATCATTAGAGTTGGTAGGTTTCTCACATTTTTTCTTCCGTGTTTCTTTTTTTTTTTTTCGCTAACGTTTTTTTTTTTTCAGATGCATTTCGCCATTGACGAAGTCGTAATTAGAGTTATTAGTCGTCGTAATTGGAGTCGTTTTGGGGGTCGTTGTATTGGTGTTGTTAGTCACGTCCAATTGGAGTTGTTAGAGTCGATGCCGACTAGAGATCGGATGATGTTAATTTTTCTTGACTAGTTCGATACCTTACGGGAAACTAAAGTGTTTAGGTTCTATGGGAATTATGGTCGCAAGGCTGAAAAGGAATTGATAGAAAGGCACCGTGGGAGTTTTTTGTTTGTTTTAGTTTAGTGTGGATTTTGCTTTATGTAGATTTTATCATTATGTCTGTATTATGACTTCGTCGTTCATTTATTTTTTTTTAATAAAATTTTTAAGTATATGTAATCGGCCAATCAAAATCGATCACGTGAATCATGTGATCAACGATTGGTATCGATCGATCACATGATTTACGTGATCGGTTTTAATTGGCTGATCATGGGGTCGCTATAAACTAACTCTCTAGTTTTATTATTGTATGTATATTATAAATAATAATAAACCATAGTGCACTAACCAAAGTACCCCCTTTTGCGTATCCACCACTCAAAATACCCAGGTACTTTGTATAATATTTTTTTTTAATCATCAGGTATTTTGCATGGAATATTGATTTTTGCATTACATATATAAGACCGTACAAGGTACCCCCATACAAGACACCTGTCATTGATCAAGATACGCCCACAGGTACTTTATAAGTTTTTTTTTTGGTTAGATTGTATTGGACTCCGGGTGCTTTGGTCAGTGCACTACGGTACGTATATAGCTAATAGTATAAAAATATAGGAATCGTTTGCTTTATATATACTATAATACGTAATTGTACTGTACCTCTATACTGTGGATAAATATAATACACCAAAATATAAAGTGGATATAAGAATTCTTCATATCATCGATTAAAAATATAAATTGCGGAGGTCTTAAATGTATTTATTTTAGGCAAGCGTTTAATAGCTACAGCCAACTTGATTAGATACGCAAAGCAATCGGCTAATGTTGCTTCATTAGCTTCTAATTCATAGATTACTTCTTTTATAGGTTGCCAAACAGAACGCACTTGTCGACACGTAATAAAAAAATCCTCATTAGCCATTAAATTGGCTATTTCTTGATTCGTAATTGCCTCATTATGCTCAGAAAGTAACTAAAAATAGTTTAGTTTTATTAATATATACATAATAATTATAAAGATATTTAATAATTTATACTTACCCAATCAAAAATGGGCTGTGCACGAAGCATTGAATCTGTAGTAAAATATAAAGACCCCCAATGAGTTTTTATCTATATTTTTAGCCCGCCACCTTTAATTTTCATATCCGTAAATCCTTTAGTAAGCAATAAATGACTTGAATGAGAAGTATTAAAAAAATGATTAATTTTTCCACAATCAACAATTAGTTTTTTTAATTGGTCTAATTTAACTAAATCAGCAGCAATAAGGTTAATCGCATGAGCTGCACATCGGACATTCCAAATATACAGATACATTTCTTGTGTTTTTCGATGTGCTAGGTTACAATTTGAAGCCGCATCTATAACAACAGCTATGAACTTATCTGAACCAAGTTTTTCAATAATCGTTGAGATTTCATTTGCTAAAAATTCACCCATCTGAGAACACGAGGAATAATTTTTTAAACTAACTAAATACTCTTTTCGTGTATCCGTTGTAATAATATAATTATATATTGACTCCATTGTTAGTGATGTCCAGCTGTCTAAAGCTTTATTAAATAATAATAAATTATTATATATTTAAATGAATAAATAATTTAATATGTAATATGCATCTGCATGTTACTTTGATCATCTGCATTATTTTATACATGTATGCATAATTTTTGGAATATATACGTAGTACTCGCAAAAAATGATTTTCGCTCAAAAAGCAGTTTTAAACATCGTTACATATACAGTAATACCCTCAGTCTTTTACAAGAAAACTAAGGTTAATTACATAATACCCCCAGAGTACGTGAAAAGGGAGATATTATACAAAGAGGTATGCTGAAGAGAATATTGGTGACAATCATTAATTTGAATCATTAATATAATATGATCAATGATTCAAATCATAGTATCAGATTACTTTTCAAAAATAATAGAATCTATAACCCTATAAAAAATTTTTATCTGAATATTTCCATTATTTCTCTGTGGCCTCTGTAAAAATTCTATGAAAATGATACATTTACAAATATCCATGTTAGGGAAATTGATTTAAGGTTATAAATTCCATAAAAATGAAACATTCATGGAAAAAACATGGAATAATAAACACGGATCAACTTTTTTATAGAGTAATTGAATAGTATTTAAAGGGGATATTTCTTCAAGAGGGTACTGTATGCAGCACTATATGGTAGTGGTATCAAATATAAAAAAATATATACTAACTTAGGGTTAAATAAATAGCTTTATCGACATCTCTATCAATAGCACAATTTACTCGTGCTATTTCCTCATCTAGTAATCGGCCTGATAAAGTTGTTCTCGATGGCGGATTGTATACAGGTAAAAACTCTTTAAACATATCTTTAATAAATAGATTTTTGATAACTTCAAAAGGGATTCCTGCCATTACCCAAGCTTTAATTATTTTTTTATCAAGTCGATTAATTGCAGCTTTTGGTAATAGATGATCAGATAAAAAATGAGATGTTATTGCTGTTTGATTTGATAAGGCTTTTTTTTCACATATAGTTGGAATTTCTTTCTGCTACTTTTTCACGCCAATATCGTGATATATTTTCAGGACAATTAGAGCATTCATTTGCCAAATGCGCTTCTAATGTTGCTGGTTTTCCCCTTGCCCAAGATTTTTTAGAAATACAATAATAACAAGTAGCTTCATAATGCCCATGACTTTTTTCTGCTCCCCTAAGATAATAGTTCCATATTTCAGCAAACTGTCTAGATTTTTTTTTAGTTGAATATTGTCGGTTAGAACTATTTGTTGCATATTCTTCATATTCTTCTTCTGATTCCGAACTATTTTCGGTTACTTCTACCAAATCTACATTTCTTTTTCTTGAATTTTCTTCGTTTGTCTCCATAGCTAAAAATTTGCTGCTATTGACAAATGGACAAACATACGTATAAACGTAAATTATATATATATATAGATCTTTTAAACTGTTGGTTCTTGTATGCAAGATGTTTAAGGAATGCTATATTAGTACGATATATTAGAATTGCTGAGTTAAATTATGTCTGAAATCTAAAAAAATTAGATATTGTATATTTAAAGATATATGAATCACTATCGATTACTTTAATAGTACCATAGTTTCAGTAAATAGTGCTTCGGATCTCATATTTCTTTAAAAATTAATTAGTACCCAGAATTGACACGATGGGCAGATACTTTAACAAGGGAGTACTACTTGTCAAAAATTATAGTGTGTGTTACTTGGATAATATTTATATATTTATATTACTTCTCTAATATCTGTTCAAGAATTGATCCAATATAGGATTAATGATTTACTATGATCACAAAAAACAGCAGGTTAAAATAATGATACGTACAAAATAATATGAAGTTCTCTAGCGATATTCCAAATTTAGTATGCCTGTACGTATGTATTATCATTGTTTGTGGTTTATGCATAAGATAAAGGGTCTGGAATTATATTTTAGATTCAAGGTCCAAAACCGTGGTTTTTCAAACAAGTATTCCTTAAATTACTTGTTATTTAAACAAACTTTAATCTAAAATAAGTATTCCCTAATTTACTCTTTTATTTGATTTTTTAAAGCAATTAAGCATGTTATATTTTACTGTTCAAAGATTTTTAATAAACTAAACTAACTTTATTATCACTGAATTTTGCAGAAAAAACAACGCATTACATCACAATTTTAATCGTATACAGAATTTGTTCAGAAAATCATGACCAGGGTAAAATCGCCATCCAAAAAGTTTCGTAACGAACAAAAAATGCAAAAAAAATTTATAGACTAATAAGATAAACAATAAATTAATAAACTCAATGAACGTAATATTTATTACAGCCAAAAAGTATTATGATTACGGTTTTTCTAAGTATTTGGAGCCCTTTAAAATGATTATAATCCTCCTCCAATTTATGCAATGGCTCAAAGTTTAATACTATCAACCATTTATTACTATTTGGATTCATTATGTTTTTTTAAATAATATTTTTTTCTGGATTCAGAACTATGAAATTTTTTGCTCAAATAAATAATCAGAGTTATAGTCTTCTGGAAGAGCATTAAAAATAAAATCTAAAAGTTTTTTGGTGCAATTGCATTTTCTTGATTAGTTTTTATAACTTTATTTCGATTTACATTCTTTTTGTTCATTTATTATTAGGTTACAGCAACCAATGTATATTTTTAGAATGTGTTTATTGGATTTTTGCTTTTAAAAGAATCACTTGGTTTGTCGAGATTGCAACGATCATTTTTTATTTTGAAGAATCGAAGAAAAAAATCATTTACTAAATCAATAATATTTTACTAAATATTATATTATAATGATCCTAATCATGATGATGAATTGACGTCACACAATTTTTTTGGTGCCGATTTTGGCAACATTTCAAGTTTTAATTCTGGCCAATTAGAAGATAGGCATAATACAAAAATTGAAAAGTCTCATTAATTTCAAATTATTGGCTAAGAACTACTTTTTGCATACTATTAAAAATTTTCTTGTGAAAATTAGTAAATTCTTACTCATCGATATAGTACTTTTATATAGATATATTCGGGTTAAACCAGGCTTTTAAAATCTAGTTCTAAACTGGTCCAAACCCATCCAATAATAATATAACAAATTGAACGCTGATTTTTGCTTTAAACTTTATTAATTGGGCCATAGCCTTGGGTTACTAATGCCAATTTAGAACAAATTTTTAAGAACCGGTTCAGAACCAGAATGAATAATATACACTGCATTCATCGTTAAATATAACGCACAGCATTTTACAACATATGATACGTACATACGTACTTATTAAGTATATAACATACGTACAGCACTTATAGGAACCATGACATACAGCACTTTAACGACATACAGCACTTATTTGGCATATGGCACCAATACGGCATATACGGTATACGGCACCCAATACGGCATACGGCACCCAATACGTCATACGGCACCCAATACGTCATATGGCATCTAATACGTCATACGGCATCTAATATGGTATACGTCATCTAATACGGCATACATCATCTAATACGGCATACGGCATATTTATTTATACGGCAAATGTGCCATATTGCTGTCATATTTTTAGTAAGGTAGCTACCTTAGTATTTTTAAATGTCTGCATCTCTAGTTGAATTAAGGACTTATCTTGGGTTTGCACCGCTTCAACTGGTTTGCATCTCTTCATGCGCCATCTCTCTCCATGAATACCCTAATCTCCCACTTATCTGCCCAGGTACTACTAACCCGTATCTCAAGCCAAGCCCTGCTGCCGCCGCTGGTTTACCACCCCAGGACTTAACGTTCTTTTTCTGATATAGTGGTACTAACTAATCCATTTGTACTTCCTCATATGGTGTATTACCAGAACCATATTGGTAGTACCTAAAATTTTTATTAATAATTAGCTATCACAAACTTTAATACAACTTGCAAAAAACAACTCAAATTACTCTCATTTATCATTTTATACAAATGGCTCTGTTAGGAACATTACTACAGAACAATGTACCATAGAAATTAGATGAATTCAAATCCAAGACAACACTATTATTCAGATCTATTTAGCAGAAATCAAACTTTGGCCATCATCCTACAAAGCTAAACTAATTGCAATACTTTCTGCTATTAGTATATTCTAAGAAAAAGCTCTATTACCATCTACACAGACTCACAATCCATTATATTCAAATACAAAAAACTTATACAGTCACCATCTACATTTAACAAAAGATATTCTTATAATTACTGTCCAATATAGCATACTTTACTTAACTTAATCAAAGCTTACGAGCTTGATATTCAATTAGAAAAGGTTATAGCATATAGTGATAATGTCTTTAACAACCTAGCTGATAGATTAGCAAAAAATACTAACTATTTAACCACACTTCAGTTTATAAACAACAATATATATAATCTATCATATCAAATTCAATACAAACAATATATATTTAAACAACCAACTCACAGATCTATTAAAAACATATGCAATGCCCATATTATTATAATGTGGTCATCTCAATATCAAATAGACAACATTATACCCATATCATCTCAAATTAACTGGAATGAACCTAGTTATATTTAAACAACAATTACAAAAGATCAACTACCTATACTAACTTTAAACTATATCAGCAAAAGACTTTAAAATTAAGCTTATACTTAACACACTTCCTACTCTAATATATTAATTAATGATTCTCCAGTCAACAAAAGCAAAATTTTTTTTAGATATAAATTTTACTATAAGTCTGAATCTGAAGCGCATTTATCTAAAACTTTTTTTTACTAAATAAATCACTCTTGGGCTTATAACAAAAGTTGTAAAGCTCATCAAGATGCATCTAATAGTAGTAAAAACATTAAAAGCAGCTTGGTGGTTCTTGAAAAATCTTTAAAAAACTTCTTTTTTACATATAAAATTTTTTAAAAAAAAATTGATTTTTTTTAAAGAAATTTTATATATAAAAAAAAGTTTTTTAAAGATTTCTCAAGAACTACCAAGCCGATTTTAATGTTTTTACTACTATTAGATGCATCTTGATGAGCTTTATACCTTTTGTTACAAGTCTAAAAGTGATTTATTTAGTAAAAAAAAAGTTTTAGATAGAGGCGCTTCAAATTTGAGCTTATAGTAAAATTTATATATAGAAAAAAAATTTTTTTCTGTTGACTGAAGAATCATCAATTAACATATATTATACTATCACTAATTCTAACAAACAACTGTATGATATATAATTCAAGAGAAAATCAAAAACATTGGCTTACTTGCTCAGATATATCTAAACTAAATACACTCATCACCAATACTATACAACAATTTTTGCAACAATCCTGATTAGATATTTCTAATATCCAACTACAAGAATTACAAACTAGGTTTATAAATCTTTCAAGCCTTTCATACGGTTATCTCTTAGATTGTAGACTAACGCAGGCAAATTTGCTTGTGTTGGTACTATAAATATACTACTGATCTATTTTTTTAACAATTTAAAATATTCAAATAAAATTTGGTATAATAA